ACAAGATATATATCATCCACCATGCAGGCACAATGTGTGATGATATGACTGAATATCTTATTATATAATATATAATATTTCACAGGAAGATTGTAAAAAACATATATTTCATACCAAGCCAACAAAAGCCAACAAAAACCAATATACAAAAATAAATAAACAAAGATTGCTCTGTATACATGTTAACTACTTGATTGCTGGAATGGTTACTTTTGGTACATTGTGGTGTATAACACATGCAATGTGTTTGTCTGTAGCCTGTCTTGTGTGCCTGGGGGCAACATTTATTGCACGTTTTGGTTACTTGTATAATGATCACCCCTCAGCCCAGCACCAACCCACTGGTAAATTAGAGATCATGCTAAAGTCACATAACACCCCATAATTTTTCCCCCTAAATTGTTCCGTTCGCTGGCTTCAACTCTGAAAGACAAAAAACCTGTTTGGTCCCTAAATTAATAAAATGTGTTCGTGATGCATAGTGTACCTGTTAGTAGCTTTTCAAACTGTCTGCAGATTGGAAATGAGCCAAATCGGCTTTATAATTGAATACAGAAATTTCTTATTATGATATTAAGGTGTCTTTTAAGGAGCTGTTTGTGATTTTGTAAATGCATCAACAGAGAACAAACTCAACACACACATGCATTCACAAACACATGTACACACATGCACAGTTGCCTACACACATACTCTAAAGAACAAACAAAGCCCTCTGATGCTGTTTTCAATATGAGTACACACACAGATGCTGTGATATTGAAAGATGCAGTCAATATGTTTGTAACATTGCAAATGCATATAGAAAAAGATGGGGAAAAAGCACATAAATGTCAAATAAAAATACAAAACAAAATGTTAAATGCATTGCAGTCACCTCACATACAGACACATATTCTCACAAATAAAGACATGTAAAACCAACCTAGATGCACATAATGATGACTATAATATTGAAAAATTTGATTAATATATTTGTAACAAAATTATAAAAAAAGATAAATCACAAAACAATATATGAAGAGAGATGGAGGGAGTAAGACATGATGATATCTCTCAATTACATGCATATATCTTATTTTCTAAAAGAGAACATTTAAAGCTATAAAAGCAAAGATATTTTGAATAATACTCTTTCTGCTGTTGTAAATTAATAATTGATTCATTAGACAAATATATTCCAAATTGCTATAAAAGTAGTAGAGCTGTAAACCTATCTAAATGTGTCAGGCAGTGAGCTGGTTAATGTTCTTGAGCTTTTTGAGATACATATAGTAGATCTCCATAAATGGTTAAGCTGATGTGTCCAGCTGGCCAGCTAACAGTTATTTAAACACATTGATAGTGCATTGAGAACAAATTGTGCCTTAAGCTAAGCTACCTGGTTTTAAAAGCTGATCAATTTCATGCAAATCGAAGCCCAGAGCTCCAAATTGTAATCTGCTAGAACATCAATTGATAGGGCAGAAAACTAATTCAGCAAATCCTACAAAGACTCTATATAGATGGAGAATGGTTTCCTTATTTTGTGTAGGTGAGACTAAACTGCAATGCTGGGGTTTGTTGGTTTTTTGTGTTTTTTTTGTATTTATTTATTTAAATCCTGGCCAAAAACTCCCTCAAACCAAGTTGGTTTTAAAAGCAACTAATCTACATCGGGAAAAAAATGTTATACCAAAGACTCTAAATTGGATTCCAGACTTGGCTATTAGGGATACTTTTATCTACAATTTAAAAGTCCCCAACTATAAAATTAGGGATACTTGTATCTACAATTTAAAAGTCCCCAACTATAAGACCTCACTTTATCTTTTTAAATAACAAGTTCATGGCCAATACTGTGTTGAGAATTATTATTATTATTTTTATTTTTATTTTTTTTTACTTTAAGCTGCCTGTCTTTTGGAATAAGAACACAGCTTCATTTTTTTTTTTTTTTTTTTAAATATTTCCATGTATGTTCTTCTTTTAAACTAATACACCTCACAGTTCCTAAAAGCTCTCCTATAGTGACACAGGCATCTTATCTCCATCATTCTTTTCTACTGAAACAAAAGACCAACAATGGATCCTAATGCCCCCCTTGTCTTCAAAATCCCTTTAATTGAAATCATACATTTTGGCAGTGATCCAAAATTTTTGCAATTGTTAGCAAAAAAAAAAACTATTTGATTAATAAACACCATGGGTTATCTATAGGTTCACACTGCATTCGTTTAAGTGCCTCCTTAATCCGTTTTCACACCATATGAACAAAAAGAGCATTAACATGCAATAACTTGCCTTATTTTAATTTTCCTTTAATACACACTAATTAAAATGTCTTGTAATATAATACTTAATGTCATTAATAAAGGGGCAACCTCGCCCAGATTTGCATTGAAATGTTATTTTTAATTATGTGAATTAGCAACATCTTCATTAATAGAATAATTATGGCTTTACTAAAACCTTGTTAAAAATGTTTTAATATTAGATGGAAATATGAACGAAGGTATGTTTACTATTCCTATAATATCCACACTGTTCCTTTAAATAGAAGCTAATATACCAAAGCATAAGGCTACAAGGAGTTAACTCCTGCCCATATATATAAATATTGTGTATATGGACCTTTCTTTGAACAATTGTGGAATGTTGTCTGATTATAACAATATTTTATTTTATATCCACAGTTAACCCACATCTGCTAACTGGAGATTTGAAGAAGTGATTCACCTAATATCTTAAGACGAATGGTTAATTGGGCGATTTCGGATTTCAATAATTTAGTAATAATTTAAAACTTTTGATTTTCGTTTTTCTAATATATATGTTTCTTAATTACTGTATATTGCTGAATGTGAAATAGTGAATAAGTGTAGATTAACAAATCTAAGAATGAAATGAAAAATTAAAAGGTGTAAATATTTATATGATCTGGAGTGAAATTCTTAACCATTTAGGTGCTGGTGTCCAGCCATTCTTCTAGTCCCTGAATAGTTAAAAAGGGGATTTATTTTTTTGTTATTCAAAGCCAGAATAAAAATGTTTAATTTATCAGCAAAACACTTGTTCTAAGTTATTGTCACCGTACTATTTCACCCTTGGTCCTAGAATGGAGATTTATGCATTTGGACATTTGCCCACTGGCTAAGGAGATTGTCATCAGGGCAATTTCTTTGGTCTTTAAAAAAAAAAAAAAAAAAACAGAAAGAAAATAAAGTTTGTATAATTTTTCTCCTAATGGATTGTTTAGTTAAAGTTGTTCTTGAACCTCAAGGGTATAGAGAGGGCTGGGTCCAACATCCCTGGCTGACTTTTCATAGCTCACGGCTGAATGTACAGACCCTTACTGGGATTAGTGGCCAAATTCTCATTTCCCACTGCCATAAAAGGTCTTGAACTCTATTAATGGCTAATAATTATACAGACAATTTGAATGCATTATTAGTATTCGAGAGGCGTATAGCAGGCAATGTAAATTCAAGGAGAAAGTTAGCTCTGGCTCATTTATAAACTATTTATTTGAAATCTATAAATTTAAAGAAGAAAAGAGCAGTGTATTTTTAATCTGTATTTACAAACAACTCCACAAAAAATGGATAACAATGTGATCCAGTGTTATTTCGAAAGCAATGCTTATATTTGCAATAATTTCATTTTTATATGTCCAGTATAAGCACAAAAGCATTCGATGTATGTATATTAGAAGCATGCCGTTAAAGGTGTCTTGCAGCTGTGAATATCGGTTTAATTATTAATCAGATTGCAGAAGGGCTTGTGCTCACAAATACTCTTATTTAATCTTTTTACTCAAATTCCACTTGAAATGTTTAACCACAAGCACTGTACCGGGGTTCATTAATTTTTACAAGAAACTGTACAGTCTACGGATAGAGGCATAGGAAAATATTACACTAAATTACACTGTCTCGGTGTTAGTGTGATTGTGTATTGTACAACAAAGATAGGGTTGTTTTAGAAAAATATGTATATAAAAAAATACACATACAAAATTCGAGTGCGACTCTTTATTCGTCATAATACAAATATTATTGGTCACAAAGAATTGAAAATAAAATTCATTCACGTTTGTATGTAATTAAACAATTAAACTCACACATAATTAATGCATTCTGTTTATCTCTAAACAAATTCAATAAAAAAAATCAGACGAATTAACACTGTATTTAATGTATTGGAAAAATAAATACGTGTGTGTGTGTGTGTGTGTGTGTGTGTGTTTGTGTATAAATAAACACAATACAAACCTCTCATTTATTTAATTATTTTACACATATTTTCCCAGAATTCTCCACATTGTTGCAGTAAAGAAAAAAAATATTAATATCGGATTAACTCTTTCGTTACCAGATAGCTTCCTGTGTTTTTATGGGTTAAATAATTACTTTATTTATTTTTATTTTAAATAAACGCAAACATACAAAGGTTAACACAAATGCAAGCACACACACATTAATCTAGGAAATATTGATTATTAAATAGGAAATCCTCACATCACATTTACCTGGTAGAGCCAAATTCACTACTGTACCTAATAATTAATGCTGCATTTCATTGTACATTTATTAATCGGCACTGGTCTACTAGAATTATGAAAAACAAAAACTGATAATTTCTTTTGAATAAAATTCAAGCACTTTTTACGTATTACAATGTTAGTTTTTATTTTATTTTAAATGTATTTACATATTTATTTAGCCTTTATTTCTATATGAATATATGTATTTATTTGATGGCGTACATGCAGGAAGAGTTGTACAATTCGGTAACATGATGCATGACTGTTTCTATATTGCTTTCCAAAGTGATAATTTTCAAATCATTGTCTAATTAGTGTTAGGGTAATTGGAGCTGGGATGTTCCCTGGTCTTTAGCATTGGATTTTACAGACTTGCTCTGCACCAGCTTCCAATATACCAATCCCAAGGGAGGCTGCGGTCCTAATGCAGGGAATCAAGCCTTTGGTGATTTCTTTCAATCCCCCAAATCTAGAGTCATGGGGACCCTATCCGCAGATCCAGTGGGTCTCCTGTACGGCCAGTACCTGGGATTAGAGTACAGTTAGACATGAATGATGTGAATAAAAATCATTGTGTTAATGGGGGCATCGCAAATCGCCCAGTATATTAACAAATAAAACAGTTAATATGAGAAAAAAAACAACGCCAGTTTATTTTATTAATTTATGTGTCTAATATTGGTGAGTATGTAAAAAGGCATACAACCTCATTCTGTACATGTGTATGTTTGTTTACACATAATATATGCCTATGTCGCTCTTTCTGTATCTAAATATGTATATCTCTGTGTGTATGTAGATAGACAGACAGATAGATAGATAGATAGATAGATAGATAATCAATCAAATATATATATATATAGAGAGAGAGAGAGAGAGAGAGAGAGAGAGAGAGAGAGAGAGAGAGAGAGAGAGATATATAGATGTATAGCTATTACAAAGCAGTATATTGAAATGATAACATTTGTGAATGTGGGTGTGAGTGTGTGTCTCTGTAGGTGTGTATGGTGTTTATAAATGCATCACAGACATAATGTATCCATATGTACACAAACATCGATACTGGAACTGCTAGTCTTACAAAGGGCATACAGACCAGATTACAGCAACCTAGTATCACAGTAAAACGAAAACTGATATATACATTACACCAAACTGTCCTATTATTCGTCACTTTATATTTTATTATTATTTTAACAAAATAACAGCTTACTAACAGAGTGCACTCTGTTGTATAACCCACTTGTCTTTTCCTTTCCAAACTGCATTTTGCAACCAATTCAGTGTTTCGCTACTTGTGGTGGCGTTGTCAGGATTTTTTGTAATTGTTTTGCATTCCTGTTTGGTTTAAGTGTTTTCAGTCTGTCAGGAAACATTAAACAAAGCTTCCACATAAACAAATCAACATTCGGATGGTTCTATTTATAAATAGTGCATTGTAACAGTTTGTTTTAACCAGTTACCTGCTAGATACAGAATTCTAGTACACACTGAAAGGTGTGAACTCTCCCTTTTGAAACAGTTCAAATGTTTTTTTAAATGGTGTAAAATCATTTTTCTGAGTTGAATTTGGAAACCACAAATGCAATATTTCCACAAAGATTGCACTTGGAAATAAGTCACTTTTAACTGTTTCAGACCTGGAGAAGACAGTTTGTTCACAGTTATTTTGACAATTATGAGGGTAAAGGTGTTGACTCCAACAGTGCAGGTGACAAACATCAGATACATTGTATCACTAAATCCTATTGTGTGTGAAACAAAATCCAGATGTCATCCCCCTTTTAGAATCTACAGGTGTAAATATCCACATTAGCTAACAATCCATGTGTCCCCTGGGAGAAGGTTTAATGACTGGCTATGTTATATATAGGTATTGGTGATTTTTATATGAAATATTTATGTATACAATTTACTGCGATTCGGGTTCAATCCGATTTGTAATTGCACAAGAAAACTCTCGATTACATTCACATTGTATGTTTTGGTGTAAAATTAAAAAAAAAAAATCCTATTTTTGAGGGATATATTCACTGACCAGTGACATTAACAACCGACTTGGAAGATTTAGATCAGAAGAGCCTAAATTGTGAAGATTTGTCCTTCACTTTGGGCTTTGTGATCTATATTTTGCAGGCCGGTTGTCAGCTCGTCACATTTCGCTGTTTAGTGAATAGACCCCTGAATTCTAGAGCACCGAAAAAAAATTTAATTAAAAAAACACTTCTTTTTATTTTATTTTTTTGGCCAGAAATACATTTTACAGTTTACCTGTTCTATAAAAAGGACATTTAACCCTTTGAGCGATGTAGAGACCTATTACTATTTGTCGGTTTCTGGTTATAAATCTGTCCAGCTAGGTCAAACATAACCTGGATACAGCTCTACGGTATCTGTTGGCGCTCTATAAATACCTTTTTGAAGTAGCTGAATGCAAAAACAGAATACGCTTCAGGAATTAATTTAACAAAAAAAATTGTATCTATATAATAATAATGTTTCTTTCTATTATAAATCATAAATCATGGATATATATATATATATATATATATATATACATATATATATATATACACACACACACACACACACATGCACATACATACACACATGCACATACACACGTGTTTGTATGTGTGTACGCATTATTCACAGGGTATTGCTCTGCAATACCTGGTTTATTCCATCTTAGATAATAGAATAATAGCAGTGTGTTTGCCTACCTTTCGACCTGATTTAAGGCAGTTTTACACTGACAATTGGATTTAAAAGCTTAATTCTGTACAATCCTGATAATCGTATCCTGTTTCTTTAACTGCAAAGCTTTGTCTCTTACCGCTCAGAATATATTTCCTGAAAATCATTAAGAATCTAGCTTCACTTCTACGATTTGTAATGAATTAACTATTGTAGTCAGTGACTGGCATCAAACTAGTGTGATTTGCCCATGTCAGATGTACTGTGCGATGTGTCACTTACCTGGGTCTGAAGGCCAATCCTTATAAATACAAAATATGGCATTATACTTCAGCCAAAGCAAAGGTACATACAATATTGCAAGCAGATTGGGTTAAAGGGACTAATCAATACAGTGGGCTTGGAAATGTCAGGAAAATAGCAATTAGACCCACGTGTGTGTGTTAGTCATAACAGCAATAATATCAAAAAGGTGAGCATTTATGTCATTAGTAAATATAATTAAACAGGAAATTCGGCCATAAATATTATTTGTCCCAAACAGACTTAATCAGAAAATGTAATCTATCTATCTATCTATCTATCTATCTATCTATATATTCTATCTATCTATCTATCTATCTATCTATCTATCTATTCTATCTATATCTTCAAAATGCAGATAAACTTATATGTATTCAAATTCAGCTAAAAAAATAAATGCATTTATAGTACTTCCACCTCTAACCGCTGTGCCCTCAACTAAATATACAAGTTCCAGAAAGGGTTAAAATTAATTATCTCCCAAAATGATTACAGTCAGGAATAGAAACAGTGTAATCAAATAGTGACAGGTTAGCAGTATTGTGATCCAACTAATAAAAGATCCATTTGATGAAGACATAATTACCCCATCCAGTCCTGGATAATAAGACGGTAAGCTGTGGGATAAAAAAAATAAAAATAAAATAAATATGTTGCAAAAAAACAAACAAAAAAAACATAAAACACAAATGCCATATACTTATAAATAAATACAGACAGGGTGTTAAAAAAATGAAAAAAATAAATTAAAAATACAGCAATGAGCTATTATTAGTAAATGTGATATAGTATCACTGATTATTAATGGATCGATAAAGTGCATTATGTGTTACAAAACAATGGCATCAATCATCATCTTTTTATTGTATGGTACCTTGATGCTCCATAGATGTCCAAGCAGGGGCCGTGGTGTAGTAGAGGATTGCAGAACGGAATGGTCTGATTTTTTCTTAAAGGGGCAGTAGAAGGAAACGCAGAGATGGAGCTGAGGGGAGAAAAAAGGAGGGAGAGATAAGTGATCTGAAGAAGAGGATAGGACAAAAAAAAAACCTGATGATGATGAATTCATTGGAAAGTTTCTTGGCCCTTGGTGAGGGTGTCAGATTGAATGCTCTTTGCGCATGTGCGGAGGTGTCTGCACTGACAATGCTTGGGAGATGAAGATAGTGTATAGCTTGCTTCTGGGCTCAAGGAGGAGGAGAGGAGTCTACACAAGCCGAGAAGATGAGATCCAAAGCAAGGGCGAGGAAACTGGCCAAAAGTAGGTCCTTTTGCATTTTCTTTACTCCTATTTACAAGGGACCCTCGGGGATCCTCCAAGATCTCCCCAAGCTTGCTGTTGATCTTTATTGTTAGATATGGCTCTTTGCAGCAAAACACAAAACACCTTTTTTTTTCCTTCCCCCTTCTCTTCTTCCCTTCTGGTTTTCTGAAGCTCAAGTCCATGATTTGCTGATGTCCAGCCCTTCACTTTTAGCACAGCAAAAGGCACATTCTGTGTGTGCAGAGCAGCTCTGCAAATCTGCCATTAGCTCAACTTGCACACACACTCTGCGAGTTCACAAAGAGCTTGTTGCATCGCTGGAGAGAAAGCTGGGCTCCTCAAACATGGCTAAATAAATGTTAAAACGAAAGTTAACTAAAAGTTGACGAGAGAGGCAAAGCAACTTTTTTTTTTCCCCTCTCTCTCTCTTACTGAGTCCTTTCCAATTCTTGTGAAATAATATTCCTTGCTTTTGAAATAGTGGGCGCTATAGCACTACCCACCAGAGAGAGAGAGAGAGAGAGAGGGAGAGAGGGAGAGAGGAGAGAGACTGATTCAAACAGACTCAATGTACACAGTGCTCTCATGGCTCAAAAAGCAGGAATCTTAAAGCACTTTATGGAATCCTTTCTGTTCTAAGCTCTGCACTCATACATTGTAAACCTGAAGACTTTTCAGACTACAAATACTGGCAGCAGGGGTTCTGTAAGATTTTGGGAATTATCAAGCAAGAATTTCATTTCTCTCTCCCTCTCTCTCTTTCTCTCCTTCTTACCTCTCGTCTGTTTCCTTTCTTTTTTTTCAGTATATATTTTTTTTATCACTTTTGTTGTTAGTGTGTTTGTTTACTTTTGCAAATGGAGATACAATGTATGTTTTTGCTGTTTTGTTTTCATTGTCTGTTTTTTATTGCACTGTTGGATTTTTCATTTATTTTTTTTATCTGGAGGAATGAACTGCAGAGGTGTTCTGAGAGATTAGCCTACAGTTAGGGGAAGGGGAAACCTATTAATCTATTACCCTGTGCGTGGGAGACGAGGAGGCTGGTTTGGGAAACATTTGTCAAACATTTTGTGTATTTTTATTTTTTTTTTATTTATTTTTTTATTGTTTTTCTGAAGTTCTGTGCAAAATATCTGGACACTGTAAGTGCAAATTGATTCAGTATCTTATTAAAGTGTGCATTGTTGTGAACTTTGAATCGCTTTCTTACTTTTTTTTTTTTTTTTTTTTTATGCCGTTGAAAATATGGTCAGATTTTATTGTGTCAACACTTTGTCATAATCGCATATGCACAGTCAGGGACACACACTCACACACATGCACACAATACGCACACGTGTCTCTGTGTGCATTCACACGTAGATATCTGTCGTGCACACATGTAGTCCCTTACTCCTGTGCACACATACTGACACACTCTCACAGCAGGTGTGAATACACTTATCAATACTTCTCAAGGAATGCGTACATTAGAGATTTGCACATGTCTACTAAGCAGTGACTGCATTAAAATCAGAGATACATAGGTAAACCTGTATATTTACAGTACAGGTGGCTGCTGACGTATTTTCTCCTGAATTGTTGTTTTATATTTAGATAACTTTAGATAAAATGAGCAGTAGTACATTTTTGTATACTATTTTTAACTATGTATTTTAATTATTATATGTAATTTCTGTTTTATTTTTGTTTACATGTGTGCATTTAATACAATCACACACATATCTATATGTGTATATATATATATATATATATATATATATATGTATTACTTGCATATACATCACCATATGCATATTATTATAAATATATCATATGCATATATTTATATAGCATGTTTGAAGTCCATTGTATGGATAAAATGGCTTGAAGAATGCATTGGACTGTACATTTGTATGTCTTTGTATATAAAACACTGGGACACACACATGTTTGCTAGCCCCGGGTTTAAGGGGTCAACAGCTCAGTCACTAATGAACAAGGCCCATATTTGTAATTCTCTTTGGGGACTTCCAAATCTCATTGGTAAATATAGTAAATATTTCTTTCATACAGTTCTGAAACAAACATATCTAACTCAGCTACATAAATAATCAGTGTGATAAAACGTAGAATGTTCAATTTAATTCTTTACTCTTTAGAAGAAACATTCTAAATCATTTTGGGATCAATCAGCATTTGGCAAAAAATTAAAATGTAAAAAAAAATATCAAATAGATTCTACAGTTTAAACTAGCATAATCTTTACATCTTGATAATATTTTTTTTATTAAAAACAAATGATATATTTTGTTATAATTGTATTTCCAAACGTTTTACTTGAATGGTAATCATTTTGCAAACTCCTTTCAAATTAGTTGTGTGTGTAAAACATTGTAGAAAAAAAAAAGACAAATTCACCTAGGAATCCTAAAACGGCTCAGACAGGGCTGTGATTAGTGGGGCCTGGAAATACCTAATAGCGAATGTATTGCTGGAGTGAGCACTGATTAAATTCAGGTGTTTAATACAATGCAAGGCCCGGCGGTTTATGGGGTTGCAGAGAAGGATTTTAGGGATCACAGTTCAAAACAGTAGCCTAAAGCTAAGGTTTCTCAATCCCCTGAGAGTTCATAGGAAAACTAGCTGTGTGGAGTCATTTTATACAATTCTTAGTTGGGCCTAGGTGTGTGTATGTGTGAGTTTGTCTGTATGTGTGTGTGTGTGTGTGTGTGTGTGTCTGTGTTAGTGTGTATATTTATATATATTTACAGACATGCACATGTACACACAAAAAGCACATTTATTCATACACACACATCATGATCAATATACTGTAACAATGTTAAACCTGCACACATTTTAGCACTAATAAATATGCACACAAAGTTTAACACATTAACAAGCATTAAACCCAAGCAATCAAATACAGAGATACAAACACAATTGTAATAAATTAACAAAGTACTTGCAACGTGTAGGCCAAAAATCACCCTGATTGGAAAAGAGTATAGCTCAGATTAAGTAGAAATTCTTCTGTCATGTTAACACTTCTCACTGTTTAGTGAAACCCCCCCTCCCCCCCCAACCCACACACACACACACACACACTTTTTTTTCTTTGTGGTAGAATTTTGACTTTACTTTGGTCCCTATGGAATATCCCTGCAGAGGGCATGAGATTTAATAGTGGATAAAGACTACATACATTTATATATTGCTTAACATCTAGTTTATTTAACTATAATCAGGTAGAATGAGGTTCTGTGAGCTGATATCTGTTTTTCCTGAAAAGTTTTTTTTTACATTTTTACTAAAAAATTTTTTAAGAAGAATAATTGCATTGCTTCTAAACAGATGGAGAATGATATCAGACTTCAGATAAAGCATTTATTATAAAATAATATTGTAAAATGCCATACATAAGTTTGCATTTTATTGTTTTTGTAAATATTATAGAGGTAGATATATCTATTCATAGTCACTATTATTTAAAGAAGTTATTTTTAAATCATGCTTTTACCATGTTCATTGTTCAACTTGTTGATATTTTTATACAATAATGTTACCATTTAAGTAAAATGTTATTAATTTTTTAAGAAAAGTAGCTTTATCTTTAGATGAGGGAAAATATTTGAATGACAAAAGGATCATTAAAAAGAATACATTTTGCAATTTTGTATCACACAGCATAATATTTTCAAATGAAACATACATTGCGATTTGATATTAAACAACACCACAATTTACTGATTGTGCAGCCATATTATACATTATTATAGGGATAGTTTTAAATTACTGATGCATGTCAAATATATTTTTTTTCCTAGGTTAAATTGGGTATGTGTATCATTTTCAAATATTTTGCTTTTTTTTGTTTTAGCAGCTATGCATGCACTATAAAATATGCAAAACAACAATTTTGTAAAGTAACAATGCAATCATAAAGCATATTACATTTATGATCATTAAAAAAAAAAATTAAAAAATTATTTGCAATTATATTTCTCTATAGTATTTGAAATCAGTGACAAATAGGCTGACCTTTTAAGAGGCTAAATGACGAGATGACAATTCTGGAAGTCGATATGCAAAGTCACTATGCTGAAATATTACTACTACTACTACTACAAAAATAATAATAATAATTAACCCCTTAAATGCCGGTTATAATCTCCACAAGGCGCGCAAAGAGTTAAAGAAGCATTGCAAGGCTCTGCATTAACCCTAGCAGTGTCTAAAGATTAAAGGTTGAGATTATGCTGTAGTGCAAGTTTAACCCATTTATTCCACCTTTGTAATGAGCAGCTCACACCCCTATGGAGCTCAGCACAGATATCCCACGTCTTGCTCGATTTGAATACAGAGGTATGCAAAGCCACTTGGGAGAAGAATTATTGAGCAACATTTGGCCAGGAAACTGACTCGTTGCTAGTCCCTTGGCTCTGGGAGGCGTTTTTTTTTTCTTTTGTCAATTACCTTCCATACATTCCAAGTATATAAGTTGACAAACCTTGCAGATATGATATAGTTAATACAAGTTCACACTGCCAGGACTGTGTGTGTGGTTACAATGTATATATACGTTCTATTAATATCATTATTATTAATAATACTAATACTATATATATATATATAAAATACTATATAATATACACACAGACACAAGAGGAACAAATACATAATTGGATGTAATTATACATCATTTTTTTTTCTATAAAGGTTTTTATCAGCTCATTTTCTAAAACAAAGTATGCAGAATCTCAATGATCCCTTCTAATCTTTATTAATGAACAGGTAGATCTGTGAAAGGCAGTAGCCTCCATTAGCTAAGAGAAAAGACGAGCCATGTGTATTGGAATAGAACTGGGACATTTACAAGATGCAGACAAAATAGAGAGCGGTGCCAGAGTGCAGTATTAGGTGTTAGAGAAACAGTCAAATCAACGCTTTTGCCTCTTTCTGTGCAGTCTTACAAGCGATTTAAACATGTCAGGGCTGTTTTATCATACCATTGGAATATATATATCCTTTAATGCGCGCACAACTTATGACTGACAAGCGGCTTATAAACTAGCAAGAGTTGGTTATTAGATTTTATATGAAAACAATATTTAGCTTTCACAGAGACGGGACGCTGGCCTGTGTCAAGAATTTATAATTGTGAAACGTTTTACTCAAATACAGTATAAACACACAGGATACACACACAGTGCGAGTACAGAACCAGAGGCTGTTATACTTACACAAATATTAACACAAACACACACAATGGCCCAGACACACGTGTGACACTTCTAAACATGCACCATTTTAACACAAAACATGCATCCAACTGTTAACACACACATACACAAACACATGCTGGACATGGGTTATCATTTCAACTAGCACAAGCATAAACACACAGAGACACACAAATATACACCATGGGATAGACACTTGTAACATTTAAAAACATGAAAAGTTTTAACACAAACATGCATAAATTGTCAACACACACACTAACACATGATGGAACTATGTACTCATTTCAACTAGCACAACCATAAACACACATAGAGATACACACATGCACACACAACACACACACACACAAACATGC